TTTATCAAGTCCTTCAAATTATTAGCTTTTGTGACTCAGCTCACTGAGGGAAAAGGCTATGCGCCACATTACAGGTATTTATTTCTTCTGCTGGTGAACCTGCAAAATTTTGGGCCAAACATTGTGATCTGCATACTTTGCAAATCCTGGTATTTGCCATCCTGTTTATGTGTGAGTTTACTTTCTGTGTCCCTATTGTGAGGAATTTCCCTTGGTTCCTGTCCCAGAAACTGGTGTCACCAGGGACCTAACAGTCTCCTTGTTTTTTCAATTTGAAAAAGAATTATAGGATGTTGTGATGAACATTTCCTATACCATCAGATGAAGGCAGGTTGCACAAGTAAGCTTACATTTGGCATCAAGCAAAAAACAAGTTATTCCTAATAATAACTGCAATGAAGCAAATTACAGAAGCCTCTTACAAAGTTATTTTGATGATTTTGCAAACAAATGCCAGGCAATTTCATTTGTGCTCTTAAAGATATTAAAAATTAAAATGAAAGAAAGAAACAATGATAGAAAGGGAAAATACATTTTTAAAAGGTGATTAAAGCAAACTTATTTCCTTGGGTATAATTTTCCTTTTAGTATCTCCTGCATTCATCAGAACTTATTGTAAATAAGGAAAAAAATTATTCTACAAGTGTGTTGCTTTGATATTTTCTGCTGCTAAGATTATAAATTATATTATACACTTGGCAGCATTATGCAAGCTCAATGTGTTTGCTCTAAATAATTCACAATTTAATTGTTATATTGTTCATTTGTTTTATTCTAGTTTCCTCTAAAGCCGAAAAAAAAAGGCAAAATAAAGGCTTGAAGAGTTATGTACCCAGTGTAAAATGGACTTTATTATGAGATTTACCAGGATTTGGTAAAGGCAGTAATTTCTGGACTGTTACAGGGTCACACATAGCAAGCTGACCCCTCAGTTGTATAGCAGGCACCCTCTAGTACCACATGGTACCTTAAAGTCGTACAAAATTTTCTAAGCCACAAGCCCCACAAACACAAAGCCTGCAGGCCAAATCCAGCCCATCAGGCCATTTTATGTGGCCCTCGCATCTCTCCTGCAGCTGAAGCACCCCTTTTGTTTCCACCCCCCCACCTTGTCTCAGCAGTCGGCATCAGAGAGGCATACTGATCTATTTTGCCAGATCCTGCGGTTCTCCGTACAGCCGCAGAGAGGCACAACTCTGCCTTCATCCGTCTCAGCAGTCGGTAGCAGAGAGGAGAACAGAACTTTTTCTACAGATGCTGCATCTCTGTGCAGCCAGAGCACCCCCTCTTCTGCACCTCCCCTGGTCTCAGCATTCAGCAGACTCTGGCAGCTGACAACAGCCCTCCTCTGGTCCTCCTCCAGACCCTGAACTGTATGCTTCGCAGCTATGCCCCTAGCTTCTTCCTGGCAGCAGTTCAAAGTAAGGGGGTACATGTGATATACGGGAGGGTGGGGAACTCTTGATTTCTGATGGTGGAAGGACTGTTGACATCTGATGTAATGGAGGGTGGGTGGGGTGCTTTGGACATTTGCTTATGATTATTATGAGGATGATACAATTCTATGTCAGTTGAAAAGAAGGGACACACCTCACTGGTATGATCCACAAGAAACTTTATTGGAGACTGCTTAGACAGAACACCATGGTAGAACCATGTACTGTCTGTGCAAAGTTTCTTATGGATGATACCAGCAGTGTGCAACCTTCCTTTTCAGACTTGTATCATCTGCTGCAGGAGTTATTACTAAAACCAGTAATAATCAAATGCAGAGGCAATTATTTATTATGATAAAGAGCAGATACAGGACCGAAACTAGGGGAATCATATGCCCCAGGCACCGTAATGAGAGGGGAGCTGCACCAGAAATCCTTGAACAGAGTGTGGGTCTTTCCCCACCATGCCTGCGCCACAGCAACCTCACCATAACTCCTCCAGGCCCTGCTCCCCCCTCCCTGCCACCAGTGCATGACCTTCCCGCCCTGTCACTGCTCCCTTCTCTTGGATAACCTGGGCCTTTGTGGCATTACCAAGAACTGGTGTTGCTACACTGGGTGCTGGTAGTGCAAGGCGGCCACTTTCTGATGTAAGCTGAGCTAGAAGAGCCCAAAGGAGGCCAAGGTGCCATCATGTGCAAGCAGTTTGATGCAACCTCTTTTAATGTGAGCAGTGCTGTCATCTGCCAAGGGGACTGATGGCCAAACACTGCCTGTTACCGGGTGAGCTGGAGACTGAGCTCCCGGAAGATCTCCACCTGTACCAACTACCAGTAAGGAGAATCACAGCAAGCACTGTGTGCAATGCAAAACCCCTGTGGGCTACCAGTGTCTGAAAGAAGGCTGGCACCACAGCCAGGAGGTCAAGGCTCTGGGGTCCATGTGGAAGCTGCACAAGGTGGGGGACACTGGGACAACAAAGGGAGAGGGGGAGGTGGGGGGAACAAAGGGGGGCATGGATAAGCTCCACAAGCTGGGGTAGTGCACATGGACACGGGGGGCACAAGGTGAGGGGGGAAGGGAAGCTGCACAAGATGAGGGGAAAGGGGGTACAGATGTTTCAGGGGGTAGCTGCACAAGGTAAGGGGAGGAGGAGGACAAAGTGAGGGGGGGGGGCACTGGAGAATGGAGAAGCTGCATAAGGTGAGGAGGAAGGGGGAAACTACACATGCTGAGGGGGGTAGAGGAGGACAAGGTGGGGGTGCACAAAAGGGGGGAATTGAGAAACTGCACAGGGTGAAAGGTGAGAGGAGGGCACTGTGGGAGGGCTTCATAAGGTGGGGGGTGGAAATAAAAAGCTGCATGGGGACGGGGAAGCTGTACAAGGAGAGTGGGGGGGTCATGGGGGAGTTGCACAAGGGGGTGAGTGTGCCATTTGTTTTCAGGGTCATTGTGGGAGATGCACAAGGTGGGTGAGGACTTGAAGTCCTGCCCTTTGCTGATCTGCCTCCACCCCTAGCTCAGGAAAACCCTCACTCACCCTCCTCCCCTGCAGCTTTCCCCTGGGCTTTGCTCCTTCCTGTCCTGTAGTGGCTCCAAAATGCTGCAGTGGTGGTTCCACCAGCTTCTTTACTCCATCAGATCCTCTGGCCTCAGAGAGCAGGGTGCAGCTGGCAGGTGGATGAAGAGGATGGTTAGGCTGGCAGCTGAGCTACTGCTTTTCCTGGGACTTCTACTACTGACTATTCACACTACTGCTCCAGGGAGGGCCGCCAGGCTTGCCAATGTCAGTTAGGTGAGACCCATCAATAAGTGCTGTAGGATCGCATGGCCCCCTGTGTGTTCCCTTGGCCAACCCACCCACACCCCTGTGTGGGTTTACTGTGCTTCAGTTTGTGAATTAACAGGAATCCACTCAGCACAGAACACTTTCCACTCATTCACTATCCAGTGCACTTGAGGCTGCTCTGTGTCCTCAGTCTCTTTCTCTGTCTCAAACATAAGGCATCAGGGGTCTATTTAGAACCATCATCTTTCAACCAAGCCCTCCAACAGGGCTGTGAAAAAATTATAAATAATAATACTGTAAAAATAACAAAAACATAAAATAAAAAAATAATAAACTACAGAAACCTTCCACTGTCCTACTGACACCAACCTCTGCCCTACTGACACCGTCCACTTCAGGATGGGGGCTGCCAAAATGACTCTTTGCCCCAGGTGAAAGAGGGTCTAGCGATGCGCGGCCCATGATGAAATTGAGTTTGAAATCCCTGGTCTAAGAATACTCACAGCACACACTGCACATATATATATATATATATATATATATATATATATATATATATTGTATGTTGCAGTCCTTGTGTCAACAAAATATTCTCTATTTACTGTACACAAGTGAAAGCTAAAGGATCATCTTTAAAAACAAATTTGACATTTAGGTAATACTTTGTCTGAGCCTACACTAAAGAAGACCTTCATTAAAAAAATTAGAAACTACTTAGCAAGCAGCAACTGTTTAGACAAGATGAATTTTGGTCATGAGTATGTAAGGTATAGTGGTTTACACTTTGTTATATACAGTACAACCAAATGATTAGAGTGCAGCAGTTAGTTCCTTGTATATTGTTGGTCAGCAGGAGAAAAGATGGACAGCCGCCGTGGTAAACAGGAAGAAAAGAACTTGGCATTGTTGGTCAGGTGAAGGAAAATTGTCTGGCATTATTGGTCAGGGGTGTTAAAAATGCCAACTGTTGGTCAGGGGGAGGAAAAATACCCAATATCGGTGTTCAGTGGGCAGTGAAAAAACAAAGTCCATCCTCTGTTTTCATTGGGGGAAAAATGTCTGACATTGGTGGTTAACAATAGGTAAATACCCAGAGTTGGTGGTCCGTTACTCTACCTTTCCATTGGCAGTCATTGCTGTACCATCCTATGTTAGCAGTCTCTATCATCTTATGCAAGTGTTTAGTGTCTGTACCTTATTACACTCCCAACCACCATCTGTACCCCCTTTACATTGGTGCACACAACCACTCTGATTGACTCTGTGCTTGCAGAAGACTGGGATGAAGTTGGGTCAGAGGATGTGCGCCCATTGGCTGAGGAGTCAGCCAGTGGGTAGGAAAATACAGGACCAACTGAATCCCATATTGAACCAGTACAGCATGCAGGGTTCTACTTTTAAAACTGCTATGATCTCACATTATTTGGGGCAGGTGGCAACCCTACTGCCAAGGCGTCTATGAAAACTGTGGTCCCTAACTGAAGTCGAACAGAGCTTTCGATTTAGCTCAGATATACACTGGGGTCTTCAATTGCCATTGAGGGAGTCTGAGCTTCTGCTGCACCCCAGCATCTTTAAGCAGTAAGGGGTTATTCATATACAGTATTCATTACTATATATAGCCCAGGCTGAGATCTTTGCTTGACAGAGGTACCATAGCATAGCAGTGTTGCTTGACATGTACACTATATTGTCAAAAGTATTGGGATACCCCTCCAAATCATTGGATTCAGGTGTACCAATCACATGGCCACATGTGTATAAAATCAAGCACTTAGGCATGCAGACTGCTTCTACAAACATTTTTGAAAGAATGGATTGCTCCCAGAAGCTCAGAGAATTCAAGCGTGGTACCGTGATAGGTTGCCGCCTGTGCAATAAGTCCATCTGTGAAATTTCCTTTTGGCTAAGTATTCAACAGTCAGCTGGTAGTGGTAATGTAACAAAGTGGAAGCAACTGGGAACAACAGCAACTCAGCCACTATGTGGTAGGCCACGTAAAATGATGGAGCAGGGTCAGCGCATGCTGAAGAGCACAGTGCGCAGAAGTCACCAACTGTCCGTAGGGTTAATACCTAAAAACCTCCAAACTCTGTGTAGCTTCAGATTAGCACAACCATGTGTAGTGAACTTCATGGAATGGGTTTCCATGGCCGAGCAGCTGCATCCAAGCCTTACATCACCAAGTGCAATGCAAAGCATCAGATGCAGTGGTGTAAAGCACACCGCCACTGGACTCTAGAGGAGTGGAGATGTATTCTCTGGAGTGATGAATCACGCTTCTCTGTCTGGCAATCTGATGGATGTGTTTGGGTTTGGTGGTTGCCAGGAGAATGGTACTTTCCAGACTGCATTGTGCAAAGTGTAAAGTTTGGTGGAGGGGGGATAATAGTGTGGGGTTGTTTCAGGGGCTGGGCTTGGCCCCTTAGTTAAGGCGCCAGCATACCAAGACATTTTGGACAATTTCATTTTCCAAACTTTGTGGGAACAGTTTGGGGGTGACCGCTTCCCAGGCCTGGACTGGCATTTGCCCACCTTCCTCATCTCCTCCAGTGGCCCCCTCCCTCATCTCCTCCAGCGCCCCCCCATCTCCTCCAACGGCCCCCTTCCTCATCTCCTTCAGCTGCCCCCTTCCTCATCTCCTCCAGTGGCCCCCCTCCTCATCTCCTCTAGCGTCCCCCTCCCTCATCTCCTCCAGCACCCCCCATCTCCTCCAACGGCCCCCTTCCTCATCTCTTTCAGCTGCCCCCTTCCTCATCTCCTCCAGTGGCCCCCCTCCTCATCTCTTTCAGTTTGGGGGTGACCTCTTCCCAGGCCTGGACTGGCCATAGGGCACACCGGGCATTTGCCCACCTTCCTCATTTCCTCCAGCGAACCCCCTCCTCATCTCCTCCAGCAGACCCCCTCATCTCCTCCAGCGCTGTGGGGGGGATCTGTCAGCATCTTTCTTTCTTTCCCTTCTTTCTTTCCCTCTCGACTACAAAAAAAATTTAAAGAAATAATAAAATAAAAAATTGTGAAAAATTAAATAAAAATAAAAACCTATTGACACCAGTGACAGAATTACCAGGGTTGCAAAGGTCGCTCTCACCCCGGGCTTTTGGGCTGCTCAATCCAAAGTGCCCGGGCCTATTTTTTGCCCCAGTCTGGACCTGCCTCTTCCTGTTCCAACATGACTGCGCGCCACTGTACAAAGCAATGTCCATAAAGACATGGATGAGTGAGTTTGGGGTGAAGGAACTTGACTGGCCTGCACAGAGTCCTGACCTCAACCAGATAGAACACCTTTGGGATGAATTAGAGCGGAGACTGTGAGCCAGGCCTTCTCAGCTGACATCAGTGCCTGACCTCACAAATGCGCTTCTAGAAGAATGGTCAAACATTCCCATAGATACACTCCTAAACCTTGTGGAGAGCCTTCCCAGAAGCGTGGAAGCTGTTATAGCTGCAAAGGGTTGGTCAACTTAATAATGAACCCTACAAACTAAGACTGGGATGCCATTAAAGTTCATGTGCGTGTATAGGCAGGCATCCCAATACTTTTGGCAATATAGTGTATTTGCAAATGCATCCAACCATGACCCCTGTTTTTAATGCAAATTGTTGTAATAGTTTAGACTAATAAGCAGGGGGCTGCATATAAAATTCAGTGTATGTAGTTCAACACAAGATTATCAGAGACTGCTAACACACTGCTTGTGATGGTAAGAGACTAGGAACACGTGGTTGCAGGCTGGAGATATACTGCTGGAGACAGTCAATGATAGGGGGACGTTTCATGAGACTGACAGAGATCACTGCCATTACAACACCTTTACAAATCAATGCTCTCACTACTGGCTGCTGGGTATCATTAATACCAAAAAAGCTACAGACTGAGCACCAGGGTCTTAGACTTTGTTTTTGTGCTGACTAGCAGATAAGTGTGCTTTTTTATTCCATTATATTAAGTTAAAGCAAACCTGTTGTTTTGCCCTGTCTGGGCAAAGTGCATTTTCACTTTAAGCAACACAAATGACAAATGTATTTTTTGTGAGAAATGCTATCAATTTCTTTTTTTTTCACTTCAATACATTAGTTAGTACTCATACATAACCCAGTTACTACAGGCAACTCTGTTGTACAGCTCAGAACATCATGTACGATCAGCATACCGTAGATTAAACTTTGCAAGCAAAATTTATTGCCACATGATTTTAGATTAAACATACAGTCAAAAAAAACAGGCTATATTGGTCAACGTTTCCTTTTCCGTTGTCAACGTCTCTCTCTCTCTTTTCCACTCTCCTCAGCATTGACTTTCTCCAGTAACTCCCTTGACTAAGGTTAATTCATTGTATCTGTGATCTTATCCTATAAATACTCTGCCATTTCTCAGCTTGGCTGATGGCCTGGAAAGAAACCACCATCTATCCTGCTTATGACGCTCATTCTTATGAACCTTCACACACTCAGTCACTGTATTCTTTATGAATTTACTATGGGAAGTGAGACCAAGGACGGATCTGTCTAATCAATAAACTATTTACCGCATCCTTCGTCTTTTGTTTGCCCACATGCCTACCAGGACCACTTTTTATTTGCACTTCAAGCCAAGATTCCGCCTGATGTGAATGATGAGCAGCACCAGAATGAAAGGTCAAATGTGAGACGTATCTCAAAGCCACGAGACGATTTCTGTGTTCTCTGTCAGCAGCGTAGTGTCCCTTTTATCATTTCTGCTCTGGTGAGTTATTATCAACCAGAGAAAGAAGGAATTAGGGTGACATAAGTATAATAATGCATAAAATCAAAATTTCAATCTATGCTGTTCTCCCTCTACTCCTTGCGTTATCCTTGGCAGCTTTGAACTATCTTTGCAGAATTGCTAATGCCCAGTCCTAATTAGTTTTGCTTTTTGTACCATAATTAGGAGACCATCATCGGTCAAAAGTACAATTAGGCATATCGTAAAAACTGGAATTCATTGTGCACAACATGCTTCTTGCAATATGGAACTGCAAAGATGTAGAAGTTGCCTGAAACCTTGCAGGAATTTTAATTCTGATATCTAATCAGGTTTGTTTTGGGTCAAGAATTAAGGTGACAGAATAATTTGTTTAGGTCAGAAAAAAATAAAAAAGAACCTTGGGACACTTTAAGGACAGTCGCCTACAATAGTGTTTCTAGAAGTGTTGGATGTGTACAGCAGGGATCCCTATCTTTGCTGCAGGTGGCACATTCAGTGTAAGTTAAAGGTGACCTATCCCTTCTTGCAATAAAGATAGAACATATTTTTGCAAAGCCTAACATAATATTTTAAGGATTAACATGGACCTATCACAGGCAGAAAAAAATTTATTAAATGGAAACTATAACTGTTTTGGTATTTTTTTAATATATGTAAACTCAATCACTAAAATCTCATAAAAGCTTTACCATGTTAATGTTAAATTCTAAATTAATTTTTAATATATTCAAATCTGAATGCTTCATTAAAATAACACTTGGTGATCCTGCCATGAAGATCCTTGTTCAGGTATTACCTGTTATAGGACAACAAATCTCTGCTCCTGCCTTCCATCTGGAAACCAGTCCTGAGAAATGCAATGCAGCCATCACTGATTTGCAGCAATCAAAACACGGCAGGAGAATTTTCAAAGTAAGCTTACATTGGATTGTCAAAAACAACTATAAATATTGTTTGTATTGGTATTACTATAATGCTATAAAATAAAAGCGCATGCTATAGCTAGAGAGTTCCTTTCTAAAGTTTCTAAATGGAGATTTCTTTTTTTTTTCTTTTTTTTACTATTTTTCTAAAATCTTTGACTTAAAAATAAACATTGAATATACAGTTGCAAGAAAAAGTCACAACAATAGAAGAACACAGTCTGCTGAACATAATACTACACAAACATTAGATGTTGCCATGGTTTAATTGCAATCTGTGTTTCACTCTATTTCCCTCAGAATGACTTTGTAGTCGGTGCCAGGACAGGTGTCACTGACAGGTAAAAGGACGTTATCCTTCTGATGTGGGGCCTGGTTCAGTAGTATGACCTTTGGCCACAAGGGACGTTCACTCACTCACACGAGAGAGAAACATCATCGAGCTAACACTTGGTAAAAGTAACTACAGTTGCAAGAAAAAGTATGTGAACCCCTTGGGATTACGTGAAGTTTTGCATGAATTGGGCATAAAATGTGCTCTGAACGTCATCTAAGTCACAACAATAGAAGAACACAGTCTGCTGAACACAAACATTAGATGTTGCCATGGTTTAATTGCACATAACATGTAAACATTCACAGTGCAGGGAGGAAAAGGTATGTGAGGCCCTAGCTTAATGACTTCTCCCAGAGCTAATTGGAGCCAGGAGTGAGACAACCTTGACTCCAATCAGTGTGATGATATTGGATGTGTTGCTGACAGCTGTCCTGCCCTTAAAAAACACACACCTGTTTTGGGTTTACTGGTTTCAAGAAGCACTGTCTGATGTGAACCATGCCTCGCAGAAAAGAGCTCTCAGAAGACCTACGATCAAGAATTGTTGACTTGCATGAAGCTGAAAAGGGTTACAAAAGTATCTCCAAAAGCCTTGATGTTCATGTGTCCACGGTAAGACAGACTGTCTACAAATGGAGAAAGTTTAGCACTGTTGCTACTCTCCCTAGGAGTGGTCGTCCTGTAAAAATGACTGCAAGAGCACAGTGCAGAATGCTGCATGAGGTAAAGAAGAATCCCAGAGTGTCAGCTAAAGACCTACAGAAATCTCTGGCACATGCTAACATTTTTGTTGACACATCTACAATAAGGAAAACATTAAACAAGAATGGAGTACATGGGAGGACACCACAGAGAAAGCCATTGCTGTCCAAAAAAAATATTGCAGCACGTTTGAAGTTTGCAAAAGAGAACCTGGATGTTCCACAGCACTACTGGCAAAGAATATATACTGTGGACAGATGAAACCAAGATTGAGTTGTTTGGGAAGAACACACAACACTAGGTGTGGAGAAAAAAAGGCACAGCACACCAACATCAAAACCTCATCCCCACTGTAAAACATGGCGAGGGAGCATCATGGTTTGGGGCTGCTTTGCTGCCTCAGGGCCTGGACTGATTGTTGTCATTGATGGGAAAATGAATTCCAGAGTTTATCAAGACATTTTGCAGGAAAACGTACGACCATCTGACCGCCAACTGAAGCTCTGCAGAGGACGGGTGATGCAACAGGACAATGACCCAAAGCACACAAGTAATTCAACAAAACAATGGCTGCAACAGCACAGAATATGCCTTCTGGAGTGGCCCAGTCAGAGTCCTGTCCTCAACCTGATTGAAATGCTGTGGCATGACCTTAATAGAGCGATTCAAACCAGGCA